TAGCACGTCATGCGTGGCGGGCACACACGAGCCGGGAAGACGTCTTTTGCTCCATTCCACTGGTTTACACGCTTTGTGTCACATCTCGGCACCCAGGGCACGGAGTCGCCGGGGAGTGGCATGCATTGATAAGAAATTGAATAGACAATAACGTTGCATGAACTGCCATGTCGCACGTGCTGCGTGTAACGCGCCAGCGAGACAGATTTGGCCGTTACCGGCCGTTTTCACATTTTGCGCCACATTTCGGCAACAAGGGCACTTGAAACCGTGATGATGGGTGGCTTTTACTTAGGATGATGGATTTTACTCTTCCACAGTTCCACACGTTTTGTGCGACATCGCTGCACCCAGGACACGGGATGCACTCGGGAGTAGCATGCGTTGATGGGGGATCGAACGGACAAAGACGTGGTATTTTGGCCGCTGCCGACCGTTTTTCACTGTTCGATGCAATACAATGTTGTTTAATACACCGGCAGTACGTGCTGCCATCATTCAAAAGGCTGACAGTTGGTGGAAGGGACAAAATCACCAGCCATGTCCCGCGATCAATCCCCGGTCCCATAGAATAGGTTCGGTTGTGTTCCAGAGAGTGCAGGCGAAATGGGCTCTCTCCCTCTGGCGGCCGCCAGACACCTCCAGCACCGTGCGCGGCCTGCGGCCGAGTCTTTTTCACACTTGTCGCGATATCTCGGCAACCAGGACACCTAGAACAGTGATTCCAACTGCAAAACTTTTAAATCTTACGTTAGCGCTGTGAAGCAAGCGTGCAAGCGCTTGTCCGTATTATTTTATAGTTTTCCTTGTGCAGGTATCGAACGTTTCTTGAAGTCCCCAGCATGACTGTATTCGTTTACAATATTGTACCTAGCCCGCGCAGTTCCGTATTGTCTACGTGTACCCATGGGTCTACCCGACCCGTAAACTTTATTACGAGAACGCATGTCCTGTAGGTACCAGGAAGCGAAACCAACCACCTCTTCTCGCCACACAGGTTCCGGCGCCTTTCTCCAACGTTTATTTTAACACGCATGCGGCGTAGCATTGAATCCGTGTTCTCTCTGATACATTATAGGATCACACACATTGATATCTGATCGCGTTATCATTTTAAAATAGCTAGTTGCTAGTTGTTAGCGTACGTAACAGTATACGCGACCATGAATAAGGAAGATAGAGTAAACAAATGCATGAACATAGAAACTACTGGATGTCATGGGACCAGTATGCTCCACCGCTCATCGCAATTGGTTGGGACTGACAAACGTCAGTGCCTGACGTCAATTGCGCGCATCACTTCCTGCCTAAAATACTTCGTTTAACAATAAAAAACAAATAACAAATCTTGTTGTATGTAGATAACGTACTATTTCCATTTATGTATCTTAAACAATTAAAGCGATAAATATGAATAGCGTACAGACTGCAAACTAAAACAGCTTATAATGCACATCACAGCTGCGGAGCTCCCGAGCGCCTGTGAGGCCAAGAATTGAGAAACAGGGATACCTGTGAGCCTGGGGATCGTCACTTACGTTACGTCACTTACGGGATAGCTTACGTCACTTGCCACCGGAGCCGCTGCCAGGCCTGCCGTTTCCCACCACCAGGTGGTGGCTCGCGGCGTCGCGCCGTCCCGCCGCCGTCTCTACAGCCAGCCGCCTCTCTGCTGCCGGTTTAGGCCGACAGAGGGCCGTCGGATGGCCGAGGCCGGCGGAGGGTGCAGCGAACCCCGCGGCGAGCTGCGGGGCGGCGGAGGGAGCGCTGCTGCTGCCGGCCCGCCGCTGTCGCCACCGCTGTCGGCGGTCTGTCCGCCGCCCGGCTCCGGGGCCGGCGCAGGGTCGGCAGCGCCCGTCGACGACGGCGGAGGCGACGGCGGCGGCGCGGCGGAGGGCTCCTCTGCGGTTTTCTCCGGGACGGCGGGCACAGCCGCCGCGGGTCCTGAGCCGGAGGGGGCCTCCGCTTTCGGCTCGGCCACGGTCTCCGCCGGCGTCGACGCCGGCTGTGGCGCCGGCTCGTCGGCCGGCGGCGGCGCCGGAGCACGCTTTTTCTGGGAGGCCGGTCGGACCTCGGTGTCGTGCGGCGGCTGCGCCGGCGCGCCGCTCTGTGGGGGTGCCACCTCGGCCGCTCCGTCGGCCGCCTCGTCCCGCTTCGGCCCGTCGGTCGCCGTCGCACCGTCCTGCTCCTCACTGATGGTGTCGCCGCTTTGGCTTGTAACCGACGGCCGAGCGCTGCCAGCTCCCGGCTCGACGCTCGCCCTGCTCGTTGGCCTCGACGGCGTCTCTCGACCGGACAGCCTCGAGCTACGGCGGCTCTCCGCATCTGCTGCGGCATCGGAGGCCAAGGTGGCGTCAGGTATCTGTGGCGCATCCCGGCAGCTGCGCACAACAGTGCAATTAGATGTATCGTTCTTGAAAGTAAAACGCACGAATTTCAGCAGCACGAGTGTAGTTTCCTATCCGGTTGGGTGAGAGCCTCAGCCCCCCCCCCCCGCACACTTTGAGAAGATCCTAGATAGAAGGTCCTAATTTGGGGAGATAAGCTGTTTGCTGGCTTTTTTTTGGGGGGGGGGTAGGCTGAGTCATTTTCTTTCTCTAAACCTCCCCCAACTTATTTTGCGAAACTACGCTCTTGCACACTAGCTATCCGGGTGCTTCACAACATATACGCAGCTACTACAGTCGTAAAACGAGCTGTTTCATCTGTCTCCGCACAAAATGGTAAAAGCTGACCCGAAACTTTGTCGCATGGTTTCTCTCCTTACTGCTGTACTGTAGCGAGTCAAGTAACATTTTTCCCTCTGCGCACGCATTGGGCGGAACCAATGCACTGACGCCAAGGCCATGTGACGTTCCATACCCGTGACTCCCCTTGTGCAACATAATGCTGCACATCTCTAGGTTAGTAGCCCGAATGGCTACAGTGACACGGAACTCCGGAAATCCCTGTTTACGTCAGATACGCTTCTCAAGAAAGCGTAATTGCAGGTACCCGTAAAAGCGTAATTATGGTATGTGCGCAAAGTCCGTTTCTGCATGATTTTCTGGGTGATGTTGGGAGGGGGAGGAATCTGGCGAGGTGTTGACTACAGTCAGGCTCAATTCAGCAAACCAGAGGTGAATTCCCACCACACGATGATTTCGCTTCGCACTTTCTTCAGCCTCTGCACGATGGCCTCTATCCATGGAGAGGCCCCAGCCGGGCGTGGGACCAGCTGTTGCGAGCCCGCAGGGGTCGGGTTGACAGCGGTCTTACGGCGGCGGCCCTCAGGGGTCCCCTACCTGCTGCGGCAGGGGCGGCCGGGGCCGGGTAGATGCTGGCGCGCCGCTCATCCTCCTCCGGAATCGGTTCCTCGTCCTTTTTGAGGACGCCGCGCAGCTGGAGCGCCTGCACGCGGCCCCAGCCGGTCGACATGCGCCGGTCCGTCGACAGGATCTGGTTTACCAGCTCCTGGTCGAGCGTGCCGTCTCGGAAAACGCCGTGCTCGGACATGTACTGCACCTGAGGGACAGTATGGGAAGACCATGTGAAGCCGACTCTGCTTGTGCCGCCGCTCCCTCCGTTGAAACAACGGTATATATATATATATATATATATATATATATATATATATATATATATATATATATAGTAGAAAGTGGTCCGAAACCAAATGAAGCACTTTCCAATACCGATACTAGATTTATCCCAAATGATGACGTTTCTCGCGGCTTCTTGGTTGGAAGCTATCCAAACGGCCACCGCGAACCAGGCACCACAGCACCACAGCACCGTCTCTCGGCGTTTGCATTGTGGCTGCCCGAACTGGAACACGTTCAACGCGAGCCACTTCCACAAATGCATGCGCTGAACACACATAATGAAACCACCTGAAAACAGAACGGCATGCCAGCGTGATGGATTACGCTTGCAGCGCGCTGAGGTAACTCGCAGCGCGTTGATAAAATTCGCAGCGCATCAAGGTAATTTACAGCGCGTTGGGTTTGTTTCGGCTCATTCGGATTACCAGCGGTGCCACACATTCTGCAGTTGACGCCGACTTTAACTTAACGAAATTTGCCTCGATTGCGGCGTCCCTGCTGATGGAGGCAATTCCGAGTGTCAAAGTTTGAGGAGGAAAGTCGCGGTATGGGCTACAGAAAATATACACTCGTCGGACACATAAGTTAATGAAAGCACGCCCCGCTGTGTATGGTTTGACGTGTTCTACATATGATTGCCAATTAAATTATATATGAGCGTTTGTTGCATCAAAACATTAATGAAAGATGCCTGGCATTTGTATTTCAGCTGACTCGCGATGGTGCTCGAAACTATCGTTGACGCAGGCATAATTCTGACTCGGCGGAAATTGCAATGCAATCGATCCTATCTACAGCCTGGACAAATTCTGAGAGGCTTCGTGTCGACTCCTTGACGCGGAATCAGCTGCAAGTCCTGCGCGCTAAACCGCCGGCGTCATCAAATTCCCACGGTGATACCTTCTTCCACTTGGGGCGCGGGACGGGCGTCATAGCCAGGCCCTTGGCCATGGCCTCCTTGCGCCGCTGCGTCAGCCGCTTGGAGCGGCGGCGCGCCCGGTCCAGGCTGACCATGCTGGAGCCGATGTGGTCCCTGTTGCGCATGCTCTCTCGCACCACGGCATTCCAGTCCTGCACGACACACAAATCGGGACGCTCTAGATGTTGGTTGAATACACTGGCGTGGTTGGGATACATCGGTATGGAGGCTGTACAGTAAGAATCAAATGTTGTATGAGATTCGCAGACTTTTGTTTTTGCTAATCACACGATTATTGCACTGAGATTCACTACGGAATTTCATTAGCTTGCACGTAATCTGCCGTGCATTTCAAGGTTTACGTTTCGAATTCCTCCAGCAGTATTAGGAACGTGACTGGACGCACCAAAAATGGGCGCCCCTCCTGCCCGCCCTCACGCCACCGCCCACCGCCACGCCTCACGCCCTCACGCCACCTCACGCCCTACCCACCCTCTTCTTGCTAGTTTGCTTCGGCTTGCCAAGCAGGACGCCACTGAAGAAGTCGGCCGCTTTGTTGCCGGTGGAGCTGAGGCTGAAGTTAGGCGTTCTCCACCAGGCCGATGTTGAAGCCCTTGATGAGCCGGCGCTCCTTCTGCTGCTGTTTGCGGCCGACGCCGACTGCCGCAGAGGACGGGGCGGTCACGTGACCTAGAGCGGTCGCCGTGCATGTGGCCAGATCATGTATGACAAGCAAGGTGTAACGAATGGGCACTTCTCATCCCCGCCCCCAATCCCGAACTCGTGACACATGTCAACTTCTGCGTGTCATCTTCGCCAAAGCATTTCCACAACGGCATCGTCACTCGTTGACCTTGTGTTGATACCAGAAGCTGCTGGATTGCTGGTATTACTGGATTCTCAGCAAATTCAGCAAAAAGGGGATAGGAAATTAATCGGAAACGGACCACATCTTCCCGTGCAATCATACCGTTAATTTTTTAGGGAGAGGAGACATCCATCCTTGTCAGCAATTAGGCAGTGATGGGAGAGCACTACATGAGCGATCAGTGTCAGCAGGCTTTTGTCGGAGGCCAGCAGTCTATATCAATTTCTGGTCTGCTTGAACGTGTTGGTGGGGCTGCGCTACCGTCTTCGGTATCTTCGTCATTGCTTGGCGGACGTTGATACACTTTGGGCGGAGCTGAAAACCAGATAATACCTCTCGCCGTGATACGCTTTTTTAATGACACGGACTGATGGGGTTGATGATGCCGTTCCCAGAAAGAGACGAAGCCTCGCGAAAATTGAAGTGGATTGTTATTTACGAGAGATCACGATTGGTAATACGTTGTGTGTCGCCAGGTTGAAAGTTGGCCCAATCAGGCCAGGTCAAAAATAAAGTTACCCTGAAATTATACCTTTGTCGGCTTTACATCGTCACATGTACGGGACTGTACCGTGTTTTGTCACAAAACTTCTGCATACGTATGCATTGTCTAGCTCTGAGTACAGTGGCACGCTTTCTGTATGTTCTGAGCATATAGAGCACATGTATGATGTAGGGCTCGTGTATCATGTATGACTCCGGCGATGTGACAGAGTCGGTCCGCTGCGCAAGTCCGTGAAATCGTCAGCTGCCAGCCGCCGCCCACCCGGCAGTGGATCGCCGTGTAGTGTTGCCAAAAAACCGTCGTTTGTCAGGGACCAGAAACGCTAGGGACACAACTTTGGTCTCAAAACACGTGCAATAGATGCCCCATTGGCCATCGAAAATTTCGGCGCAATTGTTCATCATCCAGGAGAGGTGTCTCCAAAAGCCCTTATGGAGAGGACATGCCCGCCACGAGGTAAAGGATATCACGATTAATTTGTAAACTTCACCCTATAACGACGAAAGTTTACGAATTATTTCATAAAGAGCTCACTAAAAACGTTACACAATAGCGGATTATTTACAACAAGCATAGGCGCAAACTTTTCGCCGTGCGGTGAACGCGGGTGTGATCTCTAAAGGGGTGGAGGAAGGGCATCAAGAATGCTGCTCCATAAACTATAATGAGACTTAGATCATTCCAAGCCAGTTAGCCATCTTAACATAAAGTCTGCACGATGAATAGAAAGAATGGCTTGTTAATTTTGCGATCAAAATAAGTTAAACGATAATTGGGTCTGCAAACACGCATCTAAATCGAAGGTGGCATCAAAGGATGTGTTTTAATTGTCCTGGGTGCATTTAATTATAAGACGGCATCATGACATAAGCCGTGTTTGACCCATATTTGCCCCGTTACCCCTATAGGTTAAGTAAAGATACAGATTCAGAAACGCATCCAGGACTTTGCCCGCAACCACTGGGGAGGTATGTACCCAAATTGCACAACATGGGATTTTGCTTGGCAAATGAATGCACGTATTCTAAGCTTTTCCGCTGAAATTTCTGCTGTCTGTCAGTCTGGACCTTCTCAGATTCCAGCTGACCTCTCCAATCCTGATTTCCCCACTCATCGTAGAGATGTGGTTGCTCCCATGCCTAACACTGCGCAAAACGGTATAACAAACGTTACCCATGGTCGCGGTGGCTCTCTACCATCTACTAAAAGATTATTCTTAGTTCGGCATCAAGATATACATACGGGAAAATCCACGTGTGGCGTTGCAAACCTTTCCGGCTTTCACAACAGGCCCTCAGTTTTGCAGCCACAGGGTTGTCGGTTGTGACGAGAAACACATCAGTGCAAACGTCCATTGGGCACCTGTCCAGGTGCCACCGCCATGCGCTGCCACTCACGTATCAGACAAAGGAACAAGGTGAATAGAGTTGAGACACAAGCACAAGCAGAAACTTCCATCCCCTCCGTAGCTTCCCTCATGATCAATTACAGTCATTGTGGTAAGAGACGATGAAGTTCGTGACGCAGGCATTTTTCGGCGTCGGTATACTCGGATACCAAAATGGCGATGCCAAGATAAAACAGTGCTCAACAAAATGGCAACTAAATCATTGTTTCTTGAGCTGAAATAAGATATTTTGGACACAAATTTGTTTGCAAGCATGTCACGGTCTCAAATTTAGCTCTTAGAGGATGAATTATACCTTACACACTAAAATTTAAAGTGGGCATCGGCATCAGTTGGAGAAGACGTGTTTACTTTTCGGATGCTCGTGCAACATATGCCTGAAAAGCAAAGAACTTGATATCTAAGACCCACAGTAGTATGGCAGCATAGCCTAATCAAATTTTTCTCAGGATTACTCAGCAACGTGCAAGATCACCGCCCTATGTTTTAGTATTCCCTTCACCGCGTTGAATATAGCGTACCGACGAGTGACGGCAGGGATAAGAGGCCGTTAAAAAACGGGACCAACGCAATGGCTTTGTGGAATTTAACTCCTCTCCATACAGCACTTAGAGGGAGTTTTCCAGATCAACAAGGGGGTTTGAACTGAAATAATCATTTTGAAGGCCTTTCTGTGCAGTTAGCCCTACGCTCTTAAGACCTAAGCTCCTCCAGTTCGCGAGCTATATGCCCGCGAAAATGGGAACAGTATTTCGGGGAGAGTATTTTAAGGTCGCCTTAGGATTCATGACGCCCTTATAACGTCATTCAAATCCTGTTATTCCATAACCCATGCGCCGACCAAGGCCGAGAAGAAATATAGTGGCCCAGTCGTTACTGTCTGGCGTTCGCGAGCACGACTTCCAGATATAACGGCCGTCAATGGGCCCTCTACAAATATGGTGCAAGTTACGATGACGTAATCAAACCATGACGTATCGAGTAGCATATTCCCTAAACAAGGTAAATGTGCTACCTGGAGTAGTTTTTTCTTAAAAGCATACCAATATAGATAGGTGAGCTTGTCCCATCATATCTGCTGTTTGCTTCAATCTCTTCAAATGTGAAAAAATTCATTTAACCTGTTTGAAAGATCTCTGTTCTGCGTCAGTAACAGAATAGAATAGTTTAAGCGATGTTATCCCACGTTAAGCCTCCTTACGCATTGGTATGGATCTGCGATCTAGAAGTATATGCGTAGGACATGTGCGAACATATAAGGTAGGCATATTCGGACATGGTTTTGAACAACTGGTGAAAACCAAAATCGTCCTCACAATTTTGTATTTTTTTCTGTGAAAAAACTGTCTCGCCTTCTTGACCGGTTTCTGCATCGCAAATGACAAAAGCTTACATTCGTAGAAAAGTATGGGTGTCCGTTATTGTTTGCTAATAACTTTCATGCTAATTAACTTTCATCAGTGATGGTAGTTATTATCGCATCCACAACTCCAGGCAGGGTACTGATCTTGAAGTCAGAGTTATTTTGAGGAAAAAAAATATATTATGAGTCGCGGTACAGAGATATTTTGATGGTGCAAATCATCCTTAGTCAATGTTTGCTGTTATAATTTTGAACAACAACATCCGGCAATAAAAGTTATTTCTACGCTACCATCCTATTTGATGCTTACATTTGTCATCTGATCCTGAGTTGCCGACGGTCATCCCGTTCTTCCTGAGCACGTCTAGCAGCTGGTACTTGAAGCTGTTGATATCCTGCTTGACTTCGTTGATGTCGTCCTCCGTGACTCCAGTGTCCTCCAGCTTCTTCTGCTCGAAGGTCACGTAACGTCGGACCAGGGCACGCATGACGCTGTAGTACTGCTTGTCGCGTTTCTGCTGGTCTTTCTTTCGAAACGATGCCGCCTGCTTGGTCTTGCCGATACCGAAGAGCCTGATGAAGCTCTTTGGCGTCGGGATGATGTTGAAGGGAGGGGGCAGAGTGCTGCCATCCTCAAAGTAGCTCATCCATAGTTTGGACCGCGCAAACTTCCACTCTAGATCCGAGCGTTCCTGGCAAGGAGAGAAATGGCATGTCTTAGTCGCATTCTGTTGTAACACTTGATATTGTAATACTGTGTGCCGGATGCGCTGGTTCATAACGGTTGTTCATGATGTCAGAACCCAATGTGCAACGCAAATGATCAAATTATCATAGTGCCCAATCCATTGTCTGTGCACTGCCATGCAAGCTTTCAGGTTCATAGATTATTGACTTAAGTTGCTTATAAATCATGCCATGTTTTTGCTTGCCATCAGACTCACCGCATTTAACGAATCTGAAAACAACTTCGAAGTACCATCACACACAAATGGCATTATATGGCATGAGGAACTTCCTTTTGGATGCTGAGTATAGTTATTTAAACACGGTTGCCAATGCAATCATAGTAAATGCCTTAGCCATTCACTCAAGGGCGATTAGACACATACTGTTGGCTGAGAATGGCAAAAAGTCCTAGGATCCCACATGTCCCACGTATCCACATACCCCACGTATCTACATATCCCACGTACCTACATATCCCACGTATTTACATATCATAAGTATCTACATATCTCACGTATCTACATAACCCACGTATCTGTGTGACAAAGGAAGGATTGCTATACGACGCACGCATCAACAAGACCGAATGGAATCGTAATGGGCGCTTGGTCCGACTCTCTGTGTGAGATCCTGCCTTTGATCGCGGGTGTTTGGCAGCAGGCGTCAGACACCCAAGTTACGCCCGCACCTGAGCCTTCACTACGCAAAACACAGCCCCTGTGTGGATCAGCCGCGCGAAGAGATCACACAGACAAAGGCATTCAAAGTACGATCGAGCATAAGCCTTCACTACGCAAAACACGGTTCTTATGTGGATCTGCCTCTCACAAAGATGATGTTGTAGGAGTTGGACATCATGGCGATCAGCAGGTTGAGCAGCACCACGATGTTGATGGCCGAGTAGCTGCCAAACATGAGCAGCGTCCAAAAGCGCGTGAACTCCTGGATGCCCGTGAGCTCAAAGTTTTCGAGGTCGACCAGGCCGAACACCGCCCAGAAGAGCGACTGGCTCGTCTCGAAGAGGCTGTGGACGGCGCAGAGCGATGCGTAACACGGCGGCAGCGACCCGGCGCTCTCACACGGGCGCCCTCGGCACCGAGCGGGTCGACTGCTGTCGTCCCGGTTTGCGGCGGGAAGCGACCTGTTCGTCTGTGCGCTCGGCTGCAGTGGGCTCGGATCCTTGGCAGGCGTGCTTTACATGCCCAAGTTGACGATTCTGAGCGCACAGAAGCCTGCGCCGTTGAAAGGGGTCCTGTGACGTAGGCACATTGAACTTCAGCGTGTTGGATGAAAAAATGATGCTTCAACGTTGCTAGTTGAAGCTGCGTTGAAATTGATACTCTGTGCCCAAAATTGTCCGCGAGGTGGTTGGCTCCACACGGTGAGCAAATTATAGTATGTAATGATACAATTTTGCGTTCTGTAACCGGGCGACAGTGTGTTTCTCCCATATCAATAGGCGATGCCTCTGCCTAACAACGAAGAATTCAAGGGAGGGCCATTTACTTGGAGAATCGCCGCCATATCTGACAGGAGTTTTCGTAGTCTTCGTTTGGGGTTCCGCCTGGTCCCGAGTAGCAGAGGCCCTTGTCCATATCAGCGTAGTACCACAACATCTGGTTCAGGCCTGGAAGGTGATCCAAATGAGTGGTTGGGGCGCTCGTGGTCAAGACACCGTTCCCCAGGCAGATGGTGTATGTTGGAATCCGGTCAATCAGTGCAAACTTTGGCGACTAGAAACGTTTTTGGAAAACGTTTATTTATGTATCGCTGCTTTGCTTTCCTCGTTCTCCTTTTGGGAACACTACTTCGTGAACCGTCTACCATTTCAACAGAACGAAGCCACGCCAGGCAGACTCACCGCATCCGAAGGAGAACACCACGAGCATGACGATGCACATAAACTTGATGATGTCGAACACCATGCGTCCGAGGGAGATCTGCAGCGGTCCCAGGTGCTGGTTCACGGACAAGATGTGGATCAGCTTCAGGAAGCTGCCGGCCAGAAGGCGTGGTAATGAGGGTGCACCAGGGTTGGCAGTGAGAATATGGACGCCTCGCATGCTACTCGGGTCCATTTTTGTTTTTGGTGCTACTTTGTATGGCAAAATCCAAGCATAGTCCAATCTGCCCTAAGCTAACTGTTGCCCGGCTTCCACCGATCCCACCGGTGTTACGCCCACGGGCGTATGCACCGTTTTGGGTCAGGATATCAATATAAAGGGTGATCGCTTCTTTATGGGAGTGCTTAAACATCTAGTCAACTGCTGCATTTACTTCTGATTCACTTCCGATCTTTCTTTTTCCACAGAAGTTTTCCCTTGGCACTGCAGTAATTGTTTTAGTTTCGCCTGTAGTTTCGGCCCCGATACGGACTCCATGAAATGCTGGCAACACAAAGTTATACAGTTGCATCATTGCAGAGTTCTAGCCGTAGCGTCACGGCCGAGATTAAAGCATCAAATGCCTAGCGTTACGGCCGAGGGTGAAGCATCAAATGGCAGTATCTCAAGTGAAAAATTTGTGGACGCTGAAAAACTGTGCTGTGAAATCAGCACTTTGGTGATCGTTCCATGAAGTATATTTGTAGGTCTTTTGGCAAGACCAATTTTTTAAACGCTCACACTCTCATGCACCGCGTCAGTGGTTGATGCTAGAATGGTCGTGTGACAATCACACAAAACCATTAAAATTAGATGTTATCAAAATAACGATGAATGTCACCTAAGTTTCCAGCTATTTTGGAAATCATCCCACTAAAACTAAAAACATTATAGCGAAGTTGTTACGTAGCTAACTGCACGGCATAGGAAAATAGCATGGCTTGCAGGTACATGCCTCGCCTGCCACTCAGTTTTCTGTTATTCGTATGACCGATTGTACATTGTCATATCACGCCACTATATTGCGCTAAGATAATATACAAATACATATACATAGGCACTTGGGGATTTCATTATTTTTCGTCCGGTACGTAGATTTTCGTTGGTACCTGAATATGTTGGCCGCTCCGTACATGCCTTCCGAGATGAACATGGGGTCATAAGGGTGCCATTGCTCCTTTGGTCGCCAGGGGTCAATGCCTGCAGACTGCTCCCGCCATACTATTATGAAAGCCGTTGCTCTGAAACAGTCCACATTATGTTGTAATGAAATACACGAAATCACTGAGCGTCACACAATGCTGCCAAGCACAAACCCTGACTGTTTTGCCCCGTGTGCAGAACGCAGTGGGGCTGATGCGACAGCGCTCACAGGCACTTGCATGGATTAAAGGCCATTTTTAAGACTCCACCACTGAACAGTGCTCGCCGTGGCCGCGTCAGCCCAGCTCTCCCCAGAGTTACCCATCATTAACTACTGTCGAGTTGTGAAAAATTGTAAGAGAGCAACGCATTCTCATTCTCATCAAGCATAGTAAGTACGCTGGTGTGTGTGACTTGCTAGATAAAGCAAACATCACAAAGCGCACTTATTTAAACAAGAGTACTGATATGGAACTGCAAGAGCGGTTTGCATCGAATCAAACTAGTCATTACCGAAGTCCTATCCAGTTGACGTAGAACCAGTTGGTCCCGAAGTCTACGACATTCCACATGTCCCCTAGGTAGTCAGCCAGTCCATTTTCCCATAGTTGTTTTATCTCGGCCCAAAGGAACGCGAAGATGTAGCTGAAATAAAACGCACGTTACTGTCGCGGTAAGAGTACTTACGATAGTCACGCAAACATTATTAGACAGGGACGTAATTCGTTGCCAAATCTGAAGGGAACAAAAAAGGGTGCTAAGAAAAAATGATTGTCACAAAATCATTTTTTCTTAGTACCCTTTTTATAGCCCGACGACAAACAAAGGGTGTTTGCCACGATTCACGTTATTTTGGTATGTTTTGGAATAGGGTGCCTGTGGAAAGCAGCGGTACCAAGTCACGTATCAGCCACATAAAGGCAAGCGTAAAAACCGCTGGTAAGCATACACAGGAAATCGGCATTGTTTCATGGCCAAACTCATCCATGTACGGTGAACTGCCATGAATGGCATATAAACTTGAATGTTTCGTTGCATTTTACAGCTAATCGTGTCCAACTTATCCTACGGCTTTGAACCTTTCGTTGCAAGGGATGACAATATTTACATCAATTTCCGTCGAGTGGCCAGATAACCACAAAATACCGATATCTGGGTTTGTCCTGGCATGAATTATTCAAAAATGGTCTGTATGACTTACATGACATGGCTCTTTCCGGTTTAGGCCCTACCAGCTTGTAACTCTGGATTGCGGGCCGAACTTTAAAAGACAGCATTGGCCGCTTCGGTGTCAGCTGCTGTTATCTTTCTGCACTAGGATTGTTAGGCTGACTGTGTTTATGTGTAGACTGCTCCTTACCAATCAGCTGGTTGCGGGCTTTACCTCTAGCCCTAAAGGTGTGGTGTTCTTTTTTACTCTGGCCTTCGACGAGTCTCTTGAGACCCTCTAGGACTCGAAAACTAAGCAGGCTAAAGACACATAAAAATTACTTTCGAAATATCTCGTCAAGCTTTACCATGAAGATGCGGCCGAACAATGATGGCTGTGATAATGTGACTGAGATGTGGCCTTTGACAGGTCAAGTTAGGTCATAGATATCAAACTAGTAATTGATAGATCTAACTTCTTATCTCAAGACTTAGCACGTCACAACAACGGGGAAAAAGATGTTCATAGCTCTCGGCAAAGTCTAACACTCCGTTGTTGGCTCAGACTGAGGGATTCCTTACAAATTGCCTTCGCTAAAACCATGGCCTGACTTTGACCTGCTATAGGTCAGCGTCCTTGCAAGGAAAGTTTAAATTTTTGATGCCAAACAATCCGCTATTTAATTGTCTACAGCTATGCAAAATTTAGCGTGGCTGCGCTGTGTCGTACGGAAACCATTCTGGAAAAACGTTTGGGGGCTCAATTTGACCCCCACTCGAGCGCGTGTTAACTCGTCGCACAAGGCGGCATGCATTCGCGCGTGTATTTGACGCCCAGTCGTGGTGAGACGGCGGGCTGTCGAGATCTGTGCCTGGTTTTCACCATTTTGCACATGTTTTTATTAAGCTGAGTGTTATGCGTTTTCCATGCAAATAGAGCAAGAGCGTAAATTTTAATATCTTAGCAAAGCAGCAGATAAATCAACCCTGTTGAAAACAACGCTATATAGGCGCCTTGAAAGTAATACAGCACAACTTTTGCAGACTTACGCTAGTTATCGCTGCAAAATGTATGACGCTTAGATCAGCGGCTGTGAAATTACACAGTCTCCAATTCTATGGCAGACTGGGCCGCGCTACTGAAGCTCCTAACTTCCTCGTAAATGTATGTTGAAACAAATTTGGTGGGTGGCTCCCTCTGCCGTTCCCGTCACAGCAAAACACCCCAACTGTGACAAGGAGACTATGCCACATCACTGTCTGTGGCAGAGAGACTGTGCCACATCACTATCTGTGGCAAAGAGACTGTACCACATCACTATCTGTAGCAAACAGGCTGTACCAAATCACTAAATGTGGCAAAGAGACTGCAACGCATCACTAACCGTGGCAAAAAGACTGCACTACATCACTAACTTTGGCAAAGAGACTGCAGCACATCACTTACTGTAGCAAGGAGACCAAACCACATCACTAACTGTGGTAAAGAGGCAGTATCACATAACTAACGGCTAGAAGATGCTGTGCGACATCACAACTGTGGTAAAGAGACTGCGCCACACATGGCAATCGTGGCAAAGAGGCTGTATCACATAACTAACTGTGGCAAAGAGGTTGTACGATATCACAACTGTGGTAAGGAGACTGTACCACACCACTAACTATGGCGAAGAGACGGTACCACACCACTAATGTGGCAAAAAGAGTGTACCATGTCGCAATCTGTGGCCAAGAGACTGTACCACATCACTAAATGCGACAGACTGCACCACATCACTAACTGCGGTAGAGAGACTCTGTCACATCACTAAATGTGGCAAACTGCACCACATCACTAACTGCGGTAAAGAGACTGTGCTACATCACGTAATGTGGCAGACTGCACCATATTCATAAGTGTCGCAAAGACACCGCGCCCCACGGTGTGGTGGTATGCCCCCTGCTGTTACGAAACCTATGTTCTGTCTTTGAGATCCGATATCACTTGTGCCAGCCAGTCCTGGTCCTGCTTTGTTGGCGGCATAGCGCGCTTTCCCAGCCCTCTGGACCCCAACTTTCCTCGATAGTAAAAGTGGAGACAGTTTGTTTCCTTTAACCAGTGTTTATTACCTAAACCGCCTTAACAAAGTTTCAAATGATTAACATAGGTGGCTTTTTGCTACCAGCTCTGGCTGTGCTTGGCGCGGATAGCTCAGCTTTACATCATTTTCAAAATGAGGAAGCTGGTACATGATACCGCAGCGGCCCTGTAAAACCTTCCGACCTAGCTCCTTCTGCGGTGCCTTACAAGATGACCAACATCTCGATGTAGGTGGGGACGGCGCCGCGGGCCTTGCGCTCGTATTCGTCCTGGCGTTCGACCATCCCCTCCGTGCCGAACATCCTCACCACCGTACTCTCCATCCGCTGCGAGACCATGACCAGCAGGACTGCCGGCAAGACGAGCAGAGTGCAGACTCGTGACCAGACGGATTAATCTTGCATAACAATATGGCAAGTTTTGCCGTTGTCTAGTATCATGACCCAACCATCGCCCCCCCCCCCCCCCAACCCCCAAGAAGACATCACTTGGAGCAAATGTCGATAGCAATCGCTTCTTCTGGGCCGGAGCCACCAAACGCCCCGCACAGCTTGTCACCAGCACCTACACAGGAAGAACATGTAGCTGCTGGAGTGGATGATGAACTTGACGAACGGCTTGCGGCAGTGGTGCGCCCAGCTGGAGTGAGGTGCCGCCATGTACATGCTGGCGTAGACGGGGAAGAGGGTGCCGATCTGAGCCACTTCCAGCAGCTGTCCCAGCATGGCCTTACGACGGAAGCCGGGCATGCCGTCGTACCAGACGGTCCCCAGCAGCTGCTGCACGTTCGGGTGCGAGATGAACTGCGGCGATGGTCAGCATGTCATGCCCCAACCGCGGGGTGGGGTCAGACTGTAGTCAGGGGTCGGACTGTAGTTGGGGGTCAGACCGCGGTCAGAGGTTGAACTGCAGCAGGATCAGGCCGCAATCAGGGGTCAGACGCAGTCAAGGGTCAGACCGCAGTCAGGTGTCAGACCGCAATCATGAGTCAGACCGCAGACAGGGGTCGGACTGTAGTTGAAGGTCAGACCGCAGTCAGAGGTCGGACTGCAGTCGGATCGGGCCGCAATAGGGATCAGACCGCAGTCAGGGATCTGACTGCGGTTGGATTCAGACCGCGGCTGCGTTCAGACTGCAACCGGCGGTAAGACTGCGGAGGGAAAGGGATGAGGCCGGTCAGACTGTGATGATGGTCCGGGGAGGGTGGGGGGTGAGGACGGAAGCGACGTAAGTGGATTGGTCAGTGGGTGCTGGCTGTTCATGATAGGACTACGCATGTATACACTGGGGTGGGGGGGGGGGGGGGGGGGGTAGCACGTGAGACATTGTAAAGTCCGGGGTCTGGGTCTGGACGTCTGGGGGTCGCCGTTACCATCGCATACGGTACATGCGCGCGCCGGAGACCTGGTGCGTGCAGTCATGACCTAGGAAAATGTGCTATGAATTTTTTAGAGCAACAAATATGTGCACCTAGTTGAATAACTTCGCCGCCAGGAGGTTTCGCAACACTAGTTTTAGTGCAGGGACCGTATGAAAGAGGCGGGCAAGAATGAAAACTTCCGGTGATATAGGTGAAATGGGTGGAGGCGGAACACCAGAACATCCGCAATCATTGCACGAAGATGACGCCACCTCGAGCCCAGCACATCTCTATCGAGAGAACCGTCCCTGCGAACAACATTCAGCCGCAGCCAGTGCTGACTCCTGCCTGCGGCCCGCAGCCCGCACCTCCTTCTGCCTGTATCGGATGGCCGTCTTCAGTCTCTCGAAGTGCATCCGCTCGCCGGGCACGTAAGCACCGCCTTCCGGGTCGTAGTTGAGCATGATCTCAAGCTCCAGCGACTTCCGAGTGTGGTCCACGAGCGACTCGGCAAAGTGCTGCACGTTCTTCCTCAAACCCTGCGCAGCACAAAAGGCCCGGCTTGGCGGAGTGTCGGCCAAACTGAAGTTTGCGGCAAGTTGCTGGTCGAATAAATTTGCTGGGGTTAGCCCGTCCGAGTACAGTCTGTCCGAAATGTTGTATAATGAAAAGGATAGAGGCTATTGTGGCAAATAATCGCTTACGCACGGCAGACATAATCATCCAAGAGAAGGTGCTGGTGATTACTCCCAGATCTGGCGTACTACAACTGCATTTGAGTCTGACTACGTTCTGTGCCGTCTCCTGACTGCCCTAACTCATGTGCCACTGCAGGGTGCAAGAACATATTGAAGCATGACGAGCTGCGGGGACCTATTTGAGGCCCGAAAGTCACGCCGTACGTCTGCTATGTGAACACGCTGGATCAGGTCTGCAGAACGGCTCGGGAGATGCGTCTCTCGGTTGCCATCACGACTGCCTGTGTAGCACTACGGTGCTGAGGCTGCGTCACATCTGCACCACTACAGTGCGACAGTACACTGCACCGCTGCCTGCTCTGGTGCACCGCGCTGCCGTCTACTTCGGCGTCGGCCCATACAGGGCGGCGGCCGCCGTGCGCACCACGTATTCCGTCTTGAACTCGGTGTCGATGGAGGAGAGCTTGCGCAGCTCTGCGCTCAGCTCGAACGCGCTGAGAATCGGGTCGCGTGACGAGAGGCAGATGAGGGACGGACACGCGAGCGCCTGGTACGCCGTGATCCTAGAGCGCGAGTGTCTGCGGCAGCGCGGCGTTGCTGGCTGTTACAGGTCAGCCGGCGCCGCTCGATGGTGAACGGACGGTGCTGGCTGTCACAGGCCAGCCGGCGCCGTGTTGTGGTGAGCAGTGGCCTGCCAGCAGCCGTCACTGGGTCGTATTTAGAGAGGACGTTACTGAGCTGTCCCAATGCTAGGAAGCTGCGAGTCGAGAATTCCGCTGCGGAAAAGCTCGCGTTGCGGCGGCGGATCTTGCTCCGCAGGATAGCTGTAATGGCAATCTCTGTTGTCAGCCATTCAGATTCGAACTTGCTCGCCAGCTTATCTCTTTTACAGGCATAGGCCGTGCCAGCAGACGGGTAAGATCTCATGTTTCCTTGAATCCAGCTCGCCACCAATGCCGGGATGAACCAATGGCACGCCTCCTTGGGGTGGCCTTGCTGCTGCCAGAGCACACACTGGCTCCCCACCTGAGGTCGTCCTACTGCTACCGGAGTACTCACTCGCCCCCCCCCCCCCCCTCCCTGCAGCCGTCCTGCCGCTGCCAGAGCATACACTCGTCCCCAAGGCCTGAGATCGTCCTGCTGCTGCCAGATTGCCCACTCTCCCCACCCCCACTCCCCCCTACCCCCACCATCTAAGGTCCTCCTGCTGCTGCCAGAGTGTTCACTCCCCCCCCCCCCCCCCCCACCCACGCCACTTAAAGCCGTCCTGCTGCTGCGAGAGCACACACTCGTCCCCACCTGAGGCCGTCCTGCTGCTGCGGGAGCACACACTCGTCCCCACCTGAGGCCGTCCTGCTGCTGCGAGAGCACACACTCGTCGCAGCCGCACTTGACGTCGTGTGGCAGCGGTAGCGTGGCGCCGCGGTCCAGCAGCAGTTTCAGCACCTCGTAGTTGTTGCGCTGCGCTGCCATGATGAGTGGTGTGATCTCGGGCGTGAAGGTGGCCACCCGCTCGTCGATACGTTCCCAGGACTGCGGGCACGCGACTGGGGTTCACAGGGTAGCACCGAGCGAGGCCTCGTTTTTTTTGTTTTGTTGCAGATTTCAAGGTTTGCCGCGCAGGTGACGACCGTGACCCTCTCAGCCGTCGCAGCGTTCTGGGTTTGGACAGAAGGGCTTATGACGTCAATCATGCGCCATCTTTACAGGAGACATCGTTTTCCGTGCGTCATTACCGATATTATGACTTTGTTTACTGCTACAGTGAAACCTGGCATTGAGCCGGGCTACCATGTTACAGCTAGAGATCTGGACAAGCTGTACAGTATCGTATTTCCACCCATAAGGCAGATCAGTTTCGTTTTAGATTGCTTTTGGATATTGCTGAGGTTTCATTGCTATATTTTCAGCTGTTTGGCTTGGAAAGAACGACGTTAAACGGAAGTGGATATTGAGTGTTATTTTCAGACGCGTGATATTAACATCTAGGTGGATGGATTTCGCCTAGCCTAGGGCCTAGGTTAATCCGTAATTGAACTTTACCGTGGTCCTTGATATTGCTTCAGCATTACCTGACGGCAGAAAGATATATTTTTTGTTGCGGGTGACTCTCACAGCTTATTGCAATGCGTGACTGCACAGTTAATGTAAATATATGCAACGGTTTTCACGGTCCCAACATCCTTATCTCTAGCCCGGTTACTTCTATCCCAGGCAAGTTTGCTCTAATATGACAGGGGCCACTTTTCTGAAGGTTCATGTTGCTCTTTTAGGTCAGATGGCGATGAGATGATTGGGCGATTTATAAAGCATGCACTGGCTCACACCACACATTTGTTGAAGTCATGATCTGCCATCGCTTTTAAGATATGCCGGTACCGCTCGAAGAAAGCATGACACCAGGATCCATTTGTTTGCATTTAGTTGTGCGTGACCTACTGCTCACATCACGCATATTTATGCCAGGACAATTTCAGTCCCTTTCTCATCAAAATGTTGTTGATTCCTGGGGTCGTGCGACTCTGGGTGTTGAAAACCGGGTCTGGCCTCAGCAAGTCTCGTGAACGCTGGTGAACGTACAAACCTTATACGTACAAACCTCACGTTTCCGTGCTGGTCGAATTAGGAAAGCCAGATTTCGTCAATGTTGCTTGCTAGTTTGGCTTGGCCATGCTGTCATAAAATCACGCTAGATCAAGCAGCTTGGACATTGCCTTAAAAACATCGCGGCTCAACTTCTCAAGAATGCTGTTACGTGTTGTCAAAAATTGTGAATGGCTGCGATCAGTGGTTGTAAAAATATAAGCGTGAAAGAAACACGATTACCGTGCCGAGCATGCTAACAGGTTTCCAGTGCATCAAGCAAGGCGCGTGCAGAATACAGCCCGACTGTCACAAGTCGCTCTCACAGCCTTACAGAAAAGCGCATCTGTACTGACATTTAGTAAGCGCTGTCATTCGTACTTGGCGAAGCTCGTAGCGGCATTAATCCCTATGCGCACGCAAGCATGATTTAACGTTCTCAATTACCTAAGTTGTTCCGTGCATTAGCGAGGAATATTATGCACGTAGATAAGACAGTAGTGTTATTGTTTAGTTTTATCCTTTTATTTGTGTTATTATTTATTCTTATTTATTTATCCTTATTCCTCGGAGAAAACCAGGAGAATGAAAATATAGTTGGGTTGATATTTCGGCAGCATGCCTGTTATCGAAACAATAGCAGAAGCTATTGTTTCGCTATCGTTTCGATAAAGGCATGTTGCCGAAATATCAACCAAACCATATCTCCATTCTCCGGGTTTTTCTGCGAGGAATAAGGCTTATACTATTGTCTTTTTTATTTCAACGTTTTTCTTTGAGCTCGTAACAAACTTCTGATTCATCGTTCTTCATATTTCGCTTGATAAGCCCCATGGGTAGTTTTCGTTTTCCAAGCATGTTTTGCACCCAAGCGTTCAGAGTTCACACTGAACTATCAACTGGCCACAACTGAAGTAAATGTTTCTGGTGGATCTTGGCCTTTGGAGCTCAGCAAATATCCTCGCGTTCCAGACTCATAGCACAACCTGTGCTCCACAACAGCGTTCCTGTAATTGACCGTTTATAACTAAGACACTCCTGCTGGCTTTAGTCCACGTAGGATAACCACCAGGAAGGAGATATAGATGCATTGATGTTTCCGCTACATGTCTTAATCGACCCGAATATGAGTAGTAATGATAAAGGTATGTAAAGGCAAGTTTCGATAAACATATGTTTTTGAAACAGCAATACACCAATATCTCAATTCTTCTGGTTATTCTATGAAGAACTGGGCTAACAGTGCTGTCTAATCTAAATGTATAATGTTCCTGGCAAATGCAGTTAACAACTTACAGAAACAATGGTTTGTCACATTACCCAACCAGGAAATGAATGTTTGCCCATCGTGGTGATTTCGAGTCAGCCTTTTAAGGATATGCTCTATCTTTTGCATGCCGCAACACTTTCATAATGGCATTGCTTTGCGCGATAAATTACCTGCTGACACAACTTGTGTAGATGGCAGCCAAGCAATGGACTTGCCTGGAAGCTCCTCTGCTGAAGATCGCCAGGCAACCCGGATCCTACAGAAGATCCACTGAAGATCCCACAACAACCCGTCCCAGCTGACGCAGTGCCACATTTTAGAGAAAACAATCATTCCAACACTAAGTAAACCACCGCGTCACTTGCAGGTCTGAAAAGTTTGCTCGTCAATTTATCGCGTTTTTCTGACGCGGTTTTGTGTTCTTAGTAGCTGCTGATTTGGTGTCTTCCTCCCGATGTTACCATGCTTGTTTTTCAGGGAAGTATCGGGACGTGTTTGCGTGCCATGCCAAGCTTACCTGCTGTTCGTGATCGCTCAGCAACAGCTTTCTCTCATTTATTCTGCGTCGCGGTAAGCGTTCTCCTATTAGCCGACTTGACAAGCTTAGGACCCCTTCCGGTGTTAACTTCCGAACGACTACTTTTCACTTCGGGCATATAGACTTCTCCAAGGCTGCAGCTTAGTTGATCCAAAATTCCTAACTGACTATTCGGTATTAGCCTCAGGAACCTCACAAAGGCCGCTATCTTGAACGATGTTTAGACTGGCACTTGTGTCGAAAATAAGCATAGGTACCTTATTACACTAGCCGATTTACCACAGTGGACTTGATAACAATGCGACAAAGCGGTATAGATCGTGTTCATCGAGCTCACTCACGTATGGTTCCCCTTTCTGATGGTTCGCCTCCTCCCACGATAGAAGGTACTCAACGCCTTCCACGTAGTCCTCTGAGATGGCGTGAAGAAGCGAGTCCTGAAAGGCACAGTTGGTTGCATATTGAAAGGAAACGAGTGGAACAGCAACTGTGTCAAGAGAAAACACCTTTGATGGTGAGCCTGATTTCCTTTGCAAGAATTGTTGCTCGCCTTACAGTTGCGACAAGTACCGCACAACGATGCAGCATTAAGGTGCAGTGCTCATCTAGTAACGTTACAGTGTAACAAGCCTAAGCATCCGACGCACAAAGGACATTTTGATCATGCCCTTGGCTGGTTGGGGATGAAAGGTTTCTTGAACGATCACACTTCCTTTGCTCTAGAAACCGAGCATCTGGAAAACGTCTTTGGCAGGCCCAACTTCAACAATCACGACAACCTCATCAGAAATAATCACCAAAGGGGCTACCATGAAATCACTATGCTGCAAAGTACCTTCCACCTTCAGGTGAACACTCACTTGCGTGGGAGGCAGTGTCGACGAATGCGCTACAACGTAATGGCATTGGACTACAATATGAGTTGCCGAGCAGTATGAGGCGGAGGTGCCTGTTGCTGGTGAGTGACTTATCCGCGGCTCCGCCCACCGTTTGAGGCGGAGGTGTCTGTTGCTGGTGAGTGACTTATCCGCGGCTCCGCCCACCGTTTGAGGCGAAGGTGCCTGTTGCTGATAAGTGGCTTATCCGCGGCTCCGTCCCACCGCTTAAGGCGGAGTTGCCTGTGGCTGATGAGTGGCCTACCCACGCCTCCACCCCGCCGTTTGAGGTGGAGGTGTCTCTGGCTGGTGAGTGGCTTACCCGCGGCTCCACCCCGCCGTTTAAGGCGGAGGTGACCGCGGCTGAGGAGTGGCTTACCCGCGGCTCCACCCCGCCGTTTAAGGCGGAGTTGCCCGCGGCTGAGGAGTGGCTTACCCGTGGTTCTGCCCCGGCGTTCAGCAGCAGTTCCATCATCTCCTGAACACAGACAAGCACAAAGCCGTCAACTCTTGACAAATGCACACGACTCTGCTGCCTCTAGAAATAAGCATATTTCATTTTGCCATTGTTGTTATGTTCTTGTTATGTCCCATTTTGTTTTTTTAGTTTAATCGCTTTATTTTTAAGCATATGCTCGTTTGTAATCTGCTGAATGTGCGCAAGTTTCTGGCGGTAAGTCTGAGAAGTGGTAGAAAAAAGTAGATGGTCAGTAGCCTGCGATTTTTTGGTGAAAAATAAACAATTGAGCATCATGGGAATCCCTCGGCTCGCATCTAGGAGAAAGGTGGAACAGGCCGTTTAGGCATATTCCGATGGTTAAACCCTTGTTTCTCACCGTAAATGACCTGTCTTCATACACACCATCCACGAATTATGTTACGCATTCTGTACCTTTTCCCATCCTCTTTCACCCCTGGTCACGCACTGGTTACGCTGCACGAACCTCCTCCCGCTGGTTACACTGTGTTTAGCGAAAGGCCCCAAAAAAGTAACGTCCTTTTGGCATGTAATTGATCTAGATTAAGCAGCGAGCTCCTTGTAATGAGAGAAATACATTGCAAGGAGAAATCCGTGATCTGGGTGTAAGGATTTATCTTGCTTTTTAGATAAGCATGATTTGCAGCCACGCCCGAGCTCAACGTTACGCTCTGCAAAACGACCTTCTCCCTTTTACGTTACGCCTCTGTAACTTTCCATCAAAATGTTGCTTTGATCCCTCCCTCCATGCGTAACGTAATTTATGGACGACGCTCAACGTGATATCCGATGGGCGGCTGAATCGCCCTATTTCGATCGCTGTTTGTTATTGAGCGACCCTTAGCTGCACTATAACTGACGTGTCAGAAACGGATGAGTCGGTACGCTGTCATGCAGAACAGTTACTGCGCTCAGGGGGCCGGCCGACCGGCATCCCTTCACGGGGCACGCGAGCACCGTCGGACCCCATCGGTCACGAAAGGGCGCGCACTGGTCTGATCTGCACTCATCTGAGGTCGAGGTAACACCTCACGCTGGGTGAAAGGCAAAACATATCTCATGGGAGCTCTATCATGGTGATAGCTACGAGCCCGATGATGCAGACACGGTTGCTAACTTTTGTTTATCATCAGCTTCAGGCATCACTATGCGATGTAATCACGTTAAGAGTTCTCTCCCATTGAGAAAAACCGCCCGGGTGGCCAGCTGAATACCCTACTCTCGGGTAGGGGTCAATACGACTCCCAAGATCTCGAGAGCTAAGATTGATAAAGATACCATATTCACAGGATAGGTTTGTGTGTACAAGAACTCATTTGTGTAAGAATCGGAGGATGCGGGATGATGAAATTCGGGCCAAATAAGGTCAAACTAGGTCAAATTTTATACTGGTGTTCAACGTACTCCTAGACCTTCTCATATAAACGCCTTGAACATGGTTCCCTGCTCTAAGCGAAAGATCGGTGGTGTGCATTTAAGGTCGATGAACTTTCTGATTTTAAGAAGATCATAGTGACCAAAATTCTACGGAACTGTTTTGGTTTTTGCATTTTAATCGGTGTCAATGATGCTAGGCTTTATGTTCCGAAAAAATGTCATAAAATAATCTTAGTTTAGATCAGTGCCTACTTGGACCTTTAACAGGTCCATGAAGATGTCTGTTGCGGTCTCTGTCACTAATAAGTTCGAATGAACACCAAAAAACATCCAAAAAACAGGCTCTTGAGGAGAAAAGCAGGTTGGTTTGTCCTTGGTCTGAGTTCATAGTTGACCCTATGCCAATCGGCTTTATTTCAATCGCAAGTTTAGTTGCTGTATTCCTTAAGAAACTATTTCAGTAATGTATGGCTTCGTCTCACACTTCCTTGTCGCATCAGACTGAACGATTCCCTGGAAGTTGCCTTCGCTGACAACCACGGTCTGACTTTGACCTGCCATAGGTCAGCAACCTTAATAGATACATCTTCGGAGCAAGAGCATCCGCTCCTTAATCGCCTACACCTATGCAAAGTTTGCATGGCTCCGCCATGCCGTTCGGGAATTATTTTGTAAAACGCTCGCCCTACCCGGGCGCGTGATAACGACGTGCCTATACTCGCATGGCGAAAAAGTCCACCATCCGCTACCAACAGCAGTCACAAGGGCGTCGAGAAAAACAATACAAACAACATCGCAAGACCTGGCACCTATCGGCTCGCTGCTAAGCGGAAAGTTCGATGAGAACTGATAATACATGTTAGAAACAAGCTTCAGGAGGGGGGGGGGGGCAACTTGCTCCCCAGAAGGTTTTTTTCCGGAATTGTTTCCGAACGGTGCGGCGCGGCCGCGCCAAACTTTGTACGGATGCGGTTGCTTGGTATGCAAAATTCAGATGTACCTTGTAAGGTCGCTGACCTATGGCTGGCCAGAGTCAGGCCATTGGTTCAGTGAAGACAAGTTTTAGGCAATCGCTCAATCTGATACAACAAAGAAGTGTTAGACAAAGCCATGCATTTCTGAGATAGCTTCTTAGGAAACACAACAACTGAATGAACAAATTCCATTGACCTAGGGTCAGGTATGGTCAGACCGAGGCCGACACCAACCCGTTTTATTGCTCTAAATCTTGCTCTAGGGGGAAATTTGTGGTGCTCGTTTCGAATTTGTTGATAACCGGAACCGTATGATGTATTTTCAATGGACTTCTTTCACGTCAGAGTAGGTCACTGACATAACATGATCCAGTTCAATTTTGTTAATATACTGTCTAGCGTAATCTTTGACGCTTATTCCACTGCAAAACTCAAAGCGGTCTTACATAATTTTAGACAAGGTGACCTTCCAAAGGTTAAACAAGGTTACTTACCCTTAAATGAGCACTAAATTGACCTTTGCTTAAAACAGACATTTAGGTTCTGGATGTACTTTTAAGACACACCTGGAATTTTACCATGTTTGGACTACTTTGACTCAAAGATCATGACCAAGGAGCAACAGATTTCCACACACCTGAGTTCACGTACGGGCCAATACATCTTGTGAATTTGGTGTATTCAGCTTCCTTACTTTTTCATGTCTCAGAGGCGCCAAATGCCCCCCCCCCCTCTCTCTCGAGCGAAGGCTCTTCAACCGGCCACCCGGGTTCGTGTTAACTGAAGCAGTCGTGACACCACGGCTTCCAAATGCCTGACCTGGTTTTCATTGTCGATGGCAATGACGAGCGCCGTGCGACCCAGAGGGTCAGTGCAGTTGATGTTGATCTTGTTGTTCAGCTTGGTCCTCTCCAGATCACTGAGGGAGTGCCCGGTACGTCGGTCAGACACCGCAGATCATTCTTCCTGCTGATTGGTTTTGAGGTAGGTAGGTTAGTTCTTACGCTAACGCCCTTCTTGGCAAAGGTAATAATGATCTAATAAAGGTCTATCGCGTTCGCCGAAATGACATACATGGTTTCCTCTCTCTATTTTCTTGTCATGTATTCCGTCAGATCCGCTACCCGCCTACTTTTCGGGTATGGCGTACCTATATACCATAAGAAAGACAGTGTATTTGTCTGTATTTGCTGTGGCTGTCATAAAAGCCAAATGCCAGCCTGACTTATTGTACCAGCATCGGATGCGAAGATTGCAGTGTTTCGTACAAGATCCCCGCATTTGGTTTCGATATTGTCTCACATGCCAATATGAGCAGTCGTCATGCAGCTCAGCCCTCCACACCACGGGCAAATGTCTTGTGATTACAACTATTGATCTTCACCACTAGCGTTCAAGGAAAAACAGAACCGCGTACAAGTAGTCATGCTCCCATTATAGAACAAAACCGACCGTGCCTTACAGGTCAATGCGTTGAACCTTCAGCAGATGAACCAACATCGTTTATCTCTATTATGGCCTGAAAACAGCGTTAACCATTCACGCGTCCAAACTTCTCGGTTCATGCAGGGCATAATCGGAGGTGAGGAGGTGAGTTCAGGAGGTGAGAACGACCAGGGCCGTGGCGGCGACCTCGACCGCCGGTCGGCACTACCGGTTGTGACCGGTAGGTGGCAGGCCACTCACTGGGCGACGGAGGCGACATCTCCCCGTTCGGCGAACAGCAGGAAGCGTTTCTCCTCAGAGGAGAGCTCGTGGTCGATGACGGGGTCGAGGCCGTCCTCGGGGGTCTGCGGTCGAGTCTCGCCCGACTCCTCGCCTAGCTCCGGGTCCCCCATGGCGCCGCAGGCTGCCGGCGTTCGGACACCGGCCAACTTTGTCATTACTAGTCAGGGATGCTGCAGCCGGCGCAAGCTGCCTACGGGGATGGCTTAACGAACGTTGCACAGCGCCGCGGGCTACACACAGCGCTCACGTCTACAAATGCACCGGGCACGCTGCGCACATCTTCCGCGCAAGGCGAGCCTGGTTCCGGCAGTCTTGAGACACGTCTCCGTCAGCCATAAGGTTGGTGCGGAATGGCTTCAGTCGCAATGATCATATTTTCACGCTCAGAGGCATCAGCCTGGTATGATGCGCTGAATATATGGAAACGTGTTCCAGTGCCACGCCGATACCGGCTATACGCGAACGGACGCGTCGTTAGCTTTGCCTGCTTTTGTTGATCGCCGCAAAACCAAAAATCGATTCGGATTACACAGAAAGATAAACGCCATGAGCTTGTTATCACGTCGGCTGCTACAGGGTAGGCGTATACGGATTATTTAAGAGGCAACCACTGATGAGACGACACAAAGTCACCAAATATAAGCTCCGATGAGTTTGGAGTCCGGAGACCCTCGGCCGGTACGATCTGCGTACAAATCTGGGGCAGAACCAATCGCTACACAAGTGACCTGCACAGTCAGACCCGACGGATATGCACGCATAATCGAGAGGCAGTCGGCAGGTGCAAGGGTGCACAGGGAGGAGAAATTGCTCGCCATTTGGGAGACACTCAGGGCTAGGAATTTGCTATCTGGGAGGCATCTAGTTCTGAGAGTCTGCCATTTAGGACGTGTTCAGAGTTGAGGGTCTGCTATTTGAGGGGGGGGGGGGGGTATCCAGAAAGTCTGCTATTTGGAAGGCATCCAGATCTGAGAGTCCATTATTTGGAAGGCATTCAGTGCTGAGAGTCTACTTTTTGGGAGGCATTTAATGCTGGGAGTCTGCTATTTGGGAAGCATTCAGTGCTAAAAGTCTGTTATCTGGGAGGCTTTCAGAACCGATTCTGCTACCTTGGAGGCATCCAGAGCTGAAAGTTTGCTATTTGGGGGCATGCGAAGCTGAGAGTCTGCTCGCAGCACTGCGGTCAGATCTCTGCATTACCAATGCTGCGCAGCCCACAGTCTCTGAAGTCCGTCGCAGCGCCCCACGCCTAAAAGTCTCCTGAGGTGAACGTGACCAGCTTTGATCCCGCCAGCTCCGCGGCGGACCCCTGCCACCAGCGGCTAACCTGCACGGGGAGGAGCGTGGGGCCGCCGCGCACCGCTCGCCGCCCTCGCTGCGCCTCCGCCCCGGACCGACCGGCCGGCGTCGGTCTGCGGCGCTGGCCGGCCTCGGCACACCAGGGAAGCCCGATGGCCACTTCAGGGGCTTCCGGCCTTGGAGGGCTGTCAGGGACTGCGCACTCGCCGCCGATCGATCGAGCCGGTCACGGACAGGCTCACCGTGTGACGCTCCTTATGAGGAGGTGGGGAGTTTTATTAAGATGGCCGCTGAGGGTGATCACACTAGCTAAAGCTAGCGTGGCGCACGGTCAAGGGTATTTGCAGTGGCGTGCTGATTCAAAAGTTTCGTCAACGATTACGACGTTGCAAGGCGCGTGTTGCACCAAACGTGACTTTCCTTCTTTTAAACCCTCTGCGGTTATCGACGTCATAACTGCGCCTGCCAAGTAACAAAATAAACGAGAACACCATCTATGTGCTAATGGTATCTGACGCCAGCACGAGTAGCCAAGCTAGAGCAACACACAAACTGGCATTGCAGTGCTATGAGCAGTGTCCGTATCGTCCGGTCCTTGAATCTGACTTGGCGACCATTCGGGGGACCTCATGTCATTGTTCTCATCGCTGTCTTCCTCTCTGAGCACCAGGCCTGACGCCGTCCCGTCCCTGGTCAGGCGTTATGCCGCCGACCCGACGCGGCCTGTGAGCGCGGCCATCCCCGGCTGACGGCCGGCGGCGCGGGCCATGTCCGGCGGCCGGCCGCCTGTCACCGGCACCGGTCAGGGGTCGGCCACCCGGGCAGGGGCGCCGCTGCCAACTTGGCAGCGCCGCTGATCGGGACACGCGCCGAACGCTGACGGACGAGTCGGGTTGGTGTCGCCGGATCCGCAGGCTGACATCGCCGGCGGGCCGGCACAGCGTAACAGCGACGCCTCTACACGAGGCCTGAGCAGCGTCCTAAATAATGACTGTCCAGGTATATATATATATATATATATCTATATATATATATATATATATATATATATATATGCATACAGAACCTCAACTCATGTTTTGTGCATATATAAATTATGCACAAAACAAGTCTGAAGGGAAGCTGCAAGCGTGAAATATCAGGAAACGTCTTTAGATTACCTTTTATGTTTCTAGCTTGGATCCGCTGCAGTCCTCCAGAAATGGATCTTGTTTCACTCGCACCGGTTGTAAGCTACACAGCCGCATTTTGCGCAGTGCTTCATTTCGGGACATGATTTGGAACCGAAGGCGTAATACTTATTGCATTTTATGGGTGTGATTACATCTTGATATATTCTGACAAACCCGGTATTCAGTGGCATTATTCCAACAGCAATAAAACAAGCACAAACACACAATTATCACTTGCGGGAAGCCGATGCACATTCCTCTATTCAGGCGGGCTTTGTCCGAAGCCGGCCAGGCGCGGGAGGCCCAGTCTGTTTGCGAGATTACACGGCCATGCAGGTCGGACGAACGTCACAGCAAGCACCGCGGCACACACCGCCGCGCAAACGAGTTCGATCAGGCCGCATCTCGAGCCCCTGACGCGTCGAGACTGACGGTGTCTCCCACACCGAGAGACAGATGCTGAGATAACGGAGAGACGGAGCCGAGACTGGCGGTGTCTCCCACACCGAGAGACAGATGCTGAGACAACAGAGAGACGGAGCCGAGACTGGCGGGTGTCTCCCACACCGAGAGACAGATGCTGAGATATCAGAGAGACAGAGCCGAGACTGACGGTGTCTCCCACACCGAGAGACAGATGCTGAGATATCAGAGAGACAGAGCCGAGACTGACGGTGTTTCCCAGACAGAGAGACAGATGCTGAGATATCAGAGAGACAGAGCCGAGACTGACGGTGTTTCCCAGACAGAGAGACAGATGCTGAGATATCAGAGAGACAGAGCCGAGACTGACGGTGTTTCCCAGACAGAGAGACAGATGCTGAGATAACGGAGAGACAGAGCCGAGACTGGCGGTGTCTCCCAGACCAGGAGACAGATGCTGAGACAACAGAGAGACAGAGCCGAGACTGGCGGTGTCTCCCAGACCGGGAGACAGATGCTGAGACAACAGAGAGACAGAGCCGAGACTGGCAGTGTCTCCCAGACCGGGAGACAGATGCTGAGACAACAGAGAGACAGAGCCGAGACTGGCGGTGTCTCCTAGACCGAGAGGCCGACACTGCGGCAGACTGACAGCGACACACATTGAGAGACATGGGGCTCTGAGTTGACGTGTTGTCACAGTGCCACGGCCACGCCCATAAAACGGACGTGGCCGCGGCTATGTGCACGCGTGCGCCGTAAGTCCTCAACAGGTATGTTTGTGTCCTCCATGCACGCCGCGCACGCCGAGCACGCCGTACAGTCTACAACAGGTGTGTTCGTGCCCTCCAGAGTTATCTGCTGATAAGCTGTGTCACAAAGAACTTGGCCGTGCTTGTGTCCCCGCAGGGCTGTTGTCGCGTGTTGGGTCACGCAAGCATTTGGACGGTGTGATTTGACAGGTGTGCTACGATGCAAGAACATTCAGCAATGTGTTGTGATGCAAGAACATTCAGCACTGTGTTGTGATGCAAGAACATTCAACACTGTGTTGTGACGGCAAGAACATTCAGCACTGTATTGTGATGCAAGAACATTCAACACCGCGTTGTTGATGCCAGAACATTCGGCACTGTATTGTGATGCAAGAACGCTCAGCACCGTGTAGTGATACAACATCATTCAGCACTCTGTTGTGATGCAAGAACATTCAGCACCGTGTTGTGATGCAAGAACATTCGGCATTGTGTTGTGGTATAAGAACATTTAGCACTGCGATGTGATGCAAGAACCTCAGCACCGTGTTGTGATGCAAGAACATCCGGCATTGTGTTGTGGTATAAGAACATTCAACACTGTGCTGTGATGCAGAAACATTCAGCAGTGCAATGTGAGGACATTCAGCACCATGTTGTGACGCATCACCCACTCGCACAGTGGGCTGGTTGAGTGAATATTTGTTTGGCGCATCATGTCGCCCAGAGCACATGCGTTACGTTACCCAAGCCATTTAGCCGCGTGTTGTGTCGCATAGAACCTTGTGTTAACATAAGGTTAAAGTTTCTTGGGGCACGAAGGTCTTCGGTCGATTTCCTCGGGGTTGTATCGCGTGAGCTGCTCCGTCCTCAGAGCACTGAAAGCCAGGATGCGTATAAATGACCCCGGAACAGGTGTCTCAGCCGGTGGGTTGTGTCGCGTGTGGAGGATAGGGCACATGCGCCGTGCCTCGCGGGACGTTTGTCCGACACCAAAGCATTCAGCGGAGCATTCAGCACGCCGCCGCGGAAATCTCACGGAAGATGTGGTTGTGTCGCGTCACGCAGTCTTCAGAGCGCGCGCTGCACCGTGCACAGTCTCAGTTCGGTGTGTTGTGTCGCCTGCCGTTGCAAGCGCGGGCGTAAACGTGAGATGGCTTGGAGCATGATGCAGTTGACTTGCAACGTCTCCTGACATAACACGGCGCGGTCAGTCTCGCCCCCGTCGTCGGCCTGGCCGCGGCAGCTCAGGGCGTGGTGTAAAGCAGCTCGGTGACCAGCCCGTGGCACTGCTCCATGTCCGCGAAGCAGATGTCGCGGCCCTTCTCGATGGCCGCCGACAGGAAGTAGAAGCGCAGCAGGCCGTCGTCGCTGCGCGCGCGGCTCGGCCCGCTCTGGCCGCCCCCGGATGTTGAAGTCGCCGGCCGTGTACTTCCAGCGGTCTACCGTGACGGCCACCTTGTAGCAGCAGCCGCCCTCGATCGCCACCGGCTGGTGAAACAGCACGCCGCATGTCGGCCGGCTGCGCGCCCACGCCGTCGGCCGCTGACGCGGTGTTACCTGTCGAGAACATGTCCGTCCACTGTACGCGCTCGGAACGGGCTTGCACGCGCACGGTCAGCCCCAACTCCAGCTGACTGAAGATGTAGCCCAGATGCACGCCCACCAGCTGCAGGTCGGCGTCGGCACGGAAGCGCAGCTCGTGCACGCTGTCCATGTCGTCGCGTACAAAGCTTGTAACCCGGCTCGGTAGCGCAGGCAACGGCCGTAGGGCAGCACGCGCCGCGGCCCGGCTCCATGAGCGTGCGGCACGCCGACTGGTGTCGTGCAGGTCGATGTTGCGCGGAATCTCGATGCCGAGCGTCATGAAGAAGCTGACCAGCTCCTGCGGCCCCACCAGGCCGGAGGGCAGCACCGTCTTGATGAAGTCGCTCTCGTCGATGCGATCCATTTTGACGAAGGGCAGCAGGTCGGCGACGGTGTGGCGCAGTACTGACGGATCGCCACGCGCCGGCCGCAGCTGGTGCTCTCCCCACCGCTTCACCGCCAGGAACACCACCAGCTCGTCGCCGGCGTCGAACGTCTCCCGGTCCAAGATGGTAGCCACCATGTCCTTGGAGAGGCTGCTGAAGTCGGCGGTGGTGATGATGCGCGCCGCGTACTGGTCCACATAGCTCCAGCAGAGCTGCGTCAGCGGCTGGTTCTGCACCTCGCGACAGAAGTCGAGGAAGAAGAAGGTTGGCGCAGGTGAGCGGCGTGAAGCGGTAGCTTTCCACGGCGCTGGTGACGAACTGGGAGATGTAGCGCACCAGCTCGCTGCACTGGAACGCCTGCGCGATGTGGAAGATGTCGCGGGCCCGTTCCACCGATGCGATGATGCACTCGCCGGTGTAGATGAACCTGAAGCGGACAGCGGCCAACGTTGACGTGATTTATTGACCTTGAAAAGGGATTTGATCACGGCAGGTACAACTGTGAGTTAGAACGTAGCTTACCCACCCGTGACTCTGCTGAAATATGTGTCGTTGCATTGACTAGAATGTGTTTAGTTTTATCAAATTCAATGGGACTTTTATGATAGTTTGTCTCCCTCTCAGCTATGACCGAGAAGATTAACAAGTTGAAAAAAATACAACGATGTTGTTGAAGAGCGTTCGGTTCGTATCGCCTCTCTTATCTGCTCGTCAATCAGC